TATATATATATATATATAATAAATTTTATTTAATTTTTTTATCAAATAAAGTCATTTTTTGCTTTTATAAAGATAAAATTATTTAAAATTTTGAAATAAAAATAAAATAAAAATCCTTTTTTAAAAAAAATAAAAAGTTAATAAACTAAAGTAAATATAAGGTTTATTAAAAAGGAAAAAAAAAAAATAAAGCATACCTAGACGCACCTAATAACGTCTAGGACGGATCAATTTAGCAGTTAACCACTTAATTCGGGTTATTGACCTTTGCTCGTGTCCAAAAGGGGTAAGGATTTGTGCCTTCATCCGGATACCATTTGAGTGCCGCCCGCTGGAAATCCAATCATAGACATACATATACGGTGTACACATTTAGCTATGAAATGGCCGAAAACAGTATGATATCTGTTGAAGAAGCACTCAAGACAGTGTTGAATGTCGCTCAACGGTTGCCGCCTGTGACGGTGTCCCTCCATGAGGCCTTAGGCAAAGTTTTGGCGCAAGATATTACTGCCCCTGATCCTCTTCCTCCTTATCCTGCCTCTGTCAAGGTCATAAAATAGGGATACGTGTATATCGTGTGAAAAAATATGTGTATGCTCACTGGTTGAAAACGTTTTCGCTGAAATGGGCGATTTAAAGTTTTTGTGGTGTGTTTGCTAAGCGAATTTCTTGGGGTGTAATTGGAATTTTTAGGCTTGATGTTTGGTTTGGTATAGTCATCTGGTATACTGATTGAATTGGAAATTCTGACGAGTTAATGAAAATGGAGTATTTAGTATTTCTCTATCATTTTTTCTTTCATTTTGAAGTGAAAATTGTTCATTTCTTGATGTGGTTTTTGCTTCATTATAGCCTTGTGGACAATAATGTCTTTGATGTCAATGGATTGACAGAATAGATTATGAGCAATTTCCTGCAAAAGCTGGAGTTTTTTTTTGTTGGTTGAATAGTGTGAGGTCCTAATTGAAGGACAGCCGAGTATATATTATTTGCATTGATTGGTAAGCATAGTACGGTGATTTTTGAGGTTTGCTTTACAAAGGCTTTGAAGACTAAGTGACCAGAATATTGGGAGCTTTGCCATTAACATATCCCAAAGTCCATCTAGCAACTTTAGCGAAAAAGATTAGGGAAAGTTTAGGCTAAAAATGTAGCAGGTGTTGGTATCTTTCTGGGAATCTCTCAATAACATCCTTGTCTCAAACTATTATTTCCTTTTTCTTTTTCCCCCCTCCCTTTCCTCCCTTTTGGTCAGGGGGGTTTAAGATGAAAAGGTCATGATGTAGGAATCATTTGCCTAAGCATAATACGCTTAAAGGAGTAACCTTTTATCCGAAGTTTCTTTTTATGGAAATTTGATGTTCTATATTGAGGATCTTGATAGATGATCCGTGAGTTAAAGGATTTGTGATAACTTGACCAGCATGTTTTGCAAATTTTTCTAGATTACAAATGTTTGATTGACCGTGACCTAAACAAAGTTGGTGTCAACTAGGCCGTGATGAGTTGTATCTTGTACCACTTCAGGATGGGTATGCAGTACTTGCTTCAGATGGACCAGGTGAATATCCTGTAATTTCTGAATCAAGAGCAGGAAATGATGGAGTTGGCGTGACTGTGACCCCTGGAACTGTTGCTTATGTGACAACAGGAGGTGAATATATTTTTGTTAAATATATCTATGTTCTTCATAAAGCCATTTCCCATTTGTTCAGTCTAGTCCCTTTTTATTTTCAAGAAATTGAAAATGTTCTCATAACATAATTATATGTTAATCTAGTTTGACTCCTGGAAAGTCGATCTCTGTTTTTTAAAATGTGAATTTTGATCTTTCTAGACAATATTTTTTGTTCCCTTCAGGACCAATACCCGATGGTGCTGATGCTGTTGTGCAAGTAGAGGACACCCAACTAATAGAAAATGCATCAGTAGATTCAAAGCGAGTACGAATATTGAAACAGATTAAGCAGGGAGTTGATATACGTCCAGTGGTATGAATTCTTTACTTATTTGCTAAATCCGTTGTGTATCAACTTCACTTCACTGTTAAAAGATTTATTCTTATTACTTAATTCAGTGGAAAGTAATTACATAGAATTTATTGCTATAATGGTCTTGTGTAATATCATGGTAGATATATACAACAGAGATCTAAGAACAAAAAATAAAAAATAAATCAATAATTTTGTTCGATCAAACTCAATTATTTGAAAGAAATCAAATAAGCTGGTCTCCTGCAATCACGAACTTCAATATGCATTATCTTTAAGAAAAATGAACTCCTAATTATCATTTTTTTTTTGTAGTCAAAACCTAATCATATGGGCTTAAAAACAGAGAAGATAGTGAATTCAGTGACTTGCTAAAGACAAACTTTAACTAAATATATTTTTCATCTCTCTAATAGTTTAAGCTTTTGAATGAAGTAGTTCAACATTGTACAACAACTACAAAAGACTAAGCTTTGTTGCCTAAAATTTATGGTAAGCTTCTTGAATACTTTTTTCCACTCCGTTCAGTGCATTGCTAAATGTACTAGACGGCTCAAAGCAACTAGATCCTTAGCGATCAAAGTAAGCCATATTTATTTTTCTGACCCTCCATCTTTTTGCTTTTTTTACTGATCTTGCATAATTCTTATGAAGAAGAGTCTCTTTGGGTCTAAGCAAAACATGTCACTACCATTTTAGTTTGTCATTCTTTTAATTTATCGTCAATCTAAGCCACTTTCTGTTGGCTTATATTCGCATTTCTTATGTTATCCATTTTAGTATGACCACACATTCATCTTATAATCCCAGTTCTGGTAAGTTCATCTACCATAAAACATAGAGTATCCCCATTTCTGCTAATTTTCATCTCAATGACATGTTTGTCATTTAACCCCAACGCTCAATACCATAAAGCATAGCAGGTCTGATAACTATTCTGTAGATCTGACCTATTAAACTTATGAGGGATATATTTTCAGCCATCTATTGATATGCTTCCTCAATTTCAAATTGAAGGTCTTATTATTGTGGCTCTTTTCAAAGTGGTGCCGACATTTCTAAAATGAAAGTTTTTATACCTTTTGTGGAATACTAAGTATACTGCTCCAATCACGGCCCACTTATCTATTTTAAATACTATACATAGCATAAAAGAAACTTGTTATCCACCTTGGCTCCAGTGTTTCTTTGAATTTCATATATTTTCAGTTCTCACCTGAATAATCATGTTGGCTGAAATTAAGACATCAAACTTGAGATGCATGGTGTAAGCGTTATGTTCAATTGAACACAGATATTTTGTTCACATGCACCAGAATCTTTAGTAGAATCATATTCGTTGTGATCTAGCATCTGTATATCACTGTCACTATCAATATTTTATAATGCTTGAACAAAATCTTCTTGGCCAGGGATGCGATATTGCTGAAGGTGATGTGGTTTTGAAATCTGGAGAACGTTTAGGACCTGCAGAGATTGGCCTACTTGCCACTGTGGGTGTATTGACAGTGAAGGTATTCTTCTTCATCAACTTTTTATCCATGTACATATGTGACTTTTTCGCCCCCCCCCCCCCCCCCCCCCCCCCCCCCCCCCCCCCGTATCCCTGTTTGATCCTCGAACTCCCTTTGTTTCATGCTGAAGCAATTTATTACTGTTTTATAATGGTAATAAATAGGTATATCCTACCCCGACAATTGCTGTGCTTTCAACGGGTGATGAACTTGTTGAGCCAACCAATGCGACTTTAAATCGTGGTCAGGTACTGAAATTATTTTGGTAATTGTTTATCTCACTGAGATTGCTTGCGTATGACTCAATACAAGTTCCTGAGTTCATATCCACTTGTTTAATTGCTAAGCAAGACTGAAATACGACGAGCAACCATTTAGAATGTTAGCTGAGTAAACACACAATCCTAAAATACTGGAAGTTGAAACTTTAAGGTCTTCTGGAGCATTGGTCAAAGGCTGGGTTTAAGATATATTTACACTTGATATTTCTTTTTTCTGATTCCATTCTTTGCTTTTGTTTTCTTTCGAGGCGTGGGTGAAACAACGTTAGAAATTGTGTCCTCAGGTACCTATAAGTTTGCGCTTTGAAACTAATGTCTCATGCATTGAGGTAACAGTTCAATGGACGAACCCATGTCTAGTTACTTGGATGCCCTTTTCTGCTTAAGTGGATACTTTCATTATTTCTTTTCATGTTCATCTGTGTTCCAGGATTGAGATTCTTGCAAATTTAAAGGTGAAAAAAAACCTTGATAGGGAAGTTTGTGTTCTATTTCGTTTTCTTTTCTTAAGCCACCACCCCCCCCCCCCCCCCCCCCAATGAGTCAGGTATCTCCAATATTCGACACAAAATCATCACTAAGAATGGCATCATCATTTTTTATTTTACAAACTGGCATCTGCTTTAGCATTCCTGGTTCTCTTACAAAGATGGTTTGTTCTGTAGATTAGGGACTCCAACCGTGCCATGATACTTGCTGCTGGAACACAACAGCAGTGCAAAGTTCTTGACCTTGGTATAGCTCATGATGATGAAAAAGAAATTGAGAAGATTCTGGATAGAGCTTTTTCTTCTGGAATCGATATCCTTCTGACTTCTGGAGGTGTTTCCATGGGAGACAGGGATTTTGTTAAGCCTCTACTTGAAAAAATCGGAAAAGTACACTTTCATAAGGTAAACGTTTGTTAAACATTTGCAATCTTCTGAGCTTCCTGGTCGGCCTCCACTGTGTGCACTCAGGTGAAGAGTTGGGGCGGAGGTGACCTAATAAGATTTCTCTACTGTCTTCCAATTTGAGTTCATGTATAACTATTATTATTTGCTTCAGAAAATTATGTAACAGTAGAAATTTAATTAAATTATCCTTTTCCGCACGATCTTCCATTCAGGTTTGTATGAAGCCAGGAAAACCTCTTACATTTGCTGAGATAGTTCCTGGGTCTACTGAAAACAAGAAAGTCCTTGCGTTTGGATTACCTGGGAACCCTGTGAGCTGTTTGGTTGGTTTCCATCTCTTTGTGGTCCCTGCCATTCGACATCTTTCTGGATGGACCAATCCTCGCCTTCCAAGGTTGCTGAAAGTTATTTCTCTTTCTTTCTGTCACTGTATTCCAATTTATTCACCTTTTACACTCTTCAGTCTTCGGTCTTCACTTTTCATATTTCATTCACGAGTTCATACTCCTATTAAGAAACATTGTTGTCTAATTTTCAAATATGTTTTGGTAGAGTGCATGCTCGTCTTAAGCGGTCGATTAAGACCGATCCAATTCGTCCGGAATTTCATCGTGCCTTTGTCAGGTGGGAGGTCAATGATAGATTAGAAAACTCAGGGTAAGAATTAACCCCGTGATGTTAAATTTCTTCATGTAGATTGAGGATCATTGATTACAGGTTTTCAATACTACAAATTTATGCCATCTCAAGTATTGTTCAAGTTTGTTCTGCATTTATCACGCTTGATGACGACATAAACATGACCATGTTCTCTTTACTTATGACTTCTAGATTTGTTGCTGAGAGTACTGGCCACCAAATGAGTAGTCGACTTCTAAGTATGAAGTCAGCAAATGCTTTCTTGGAACTTCCTGCATCAGGCAACCTAATTCCTGCTGGAAGTTTTGTGGTAGCGTGGATCATTTCCGACTTAAGTGATTTTGCTGGACATGGATTGCCAACATCAGCCCAGTCAGTTAACGCAGAACAGGGATGCATGCCTCAAGAAATAAATTTTGAGTCACAAGGTTCTGAATTTAGAGTGGCTATCCTCACAGTAAGTGACACTGTTGCATTGGGCTCAGGGCCTGATAGAAGGTATCTCTTACCATCGTCTTGACCCTTTATGGTACCTTTGCCTTGCTTGGAGTCGATCCTGTCTTGGATCTGTGCGGGCTATATTTCACTAATTGTGTACTTTTATCGTCTGATATTCATCCTCTTTCTTGTCTGTCTCATCTGTGTATAGCTTTCGCGATGCCTTGCATACCCACCTTACTGTATTTATGTCCAATCCTACATGTTAGAAGTGCTTTGTATAGGGATGATGGGTGTAAAGGGATGTGCAAGAAGATGGGGGACTATTCGAGAGGTTAGAAATAAGGTGTGCCATTTTAGTAAATGAGAGGTGCATCGGGATACACCTTTCCGGATCATCATTCCCGAAAGGTCACTTCTATGATGCTAGAACAAAATTGCAAATGGATAATACTTTATATCAAAGTGGAACATGAAAGTACTGACCAACGTGCAACATATATCAGCAAATTGCTACTTGCATTAGTATGGTTTTTGGTATTAAACGTTTTAGGTTGGTTGGTGAATGCAAATTTTAAGTAAGTTTTGAATTGGATTAATCAATATTGATGTATTACTAGGAAATAGGAATCAATGTATAAAACCATTTACATGTTTGTATCAAAATTCTTATTAATGCTGTTACGCACTAGTTTTTTAGTAGGTGATAGAACTAATCTGTGTTCTCTCTTTTCAATGGAAGACCTATCACTTAAAGTTTCCAGTTCACAGAAATGTTTTCCAATGTCATATTAATTCATTTACCTGTTGGAATTATGACTCTTTCAACTTCACGTTTGATAGAGTCAAATGATTTTAAGCGAATTAAATATGCAGTCAAATTATCTTTAGGTGGTGTTTGATGCACATTATTGAGAAGAAAATACATTTTATGATGTAATGTGATGGAAAATATGTGGTTAAAAAATAAGGAAAAGTTTTGGATTTGCGTGTAATATTATTTTATTAAAGAATGTATGGTTGAAAATGAGTATTGAAACAATAAATTTTGGGAAGAATGTGGATCAAACAGGGGCTTAACTTGTTAATTTTCCTTAAATAGTCAATCGTGTCAATAAAAAAATAAATTTTGTCTGTCATATATTGCTTCTCTTTGGTGATCTGATATGATGTATAATTCTGTAGTGGTCCACGGGCAGTGTCTGTTGTGAATTCATCATCGGAAAAACTAGGAGGGGCAAGTGTGGTTGCGACTGCTGTTGTTCCCGACGAGGTGCTGAAAATCAAGGAATACTTAAAGAGGTGGAGTGACATTGACAAAATGGATCTCATTCTTACCCTTGGTAAGTTACTAAATTCTATAATCTATCCTTTTTGTTGAGGTATGCAGGGAAACCGTTTACTCCTTACGATTCAAACTTTCATCATCTTTTGTTCCCCAAATTACTTATTTTGGGATCAAGATATTATGCATGTTTGTGTAAGCTTAAACAATTTTCTTATAAGTTTGTTTACAAGTAAATAAGTAGGTTTTGAAATATATTTCTTTTTGTTGAAAAATAAGTTACTTATTTTGAATGTAACTCTTACCTTACCATCAAAATAAGTAGTTTTGTAATTATAAGAAAAAAGTAGCATATCCAAACACGTTTGGGAGCAAAAAGTTACTTAAAGTAAAGTAACTCAAACTTTTAAGTTTAGCTTTTAAGTAACTTTCTAACTTTAAGGGAAAAATAGCTTATCTAAAGATGTTTGGGACCAAAATGTTACTTAAAAGTTAAAAGTACAAGTAACCCCAAGTTTAGCCAAACATACTCTTCCATGCTTGAATTTAGGGCCTTGAGGGGTGCACCTAGAATATATATATATTTGTATTCGACTTTTTTTTCATCAATAAAGAATCAAATCAATTAGGTGGCACTGGCTTTACCCCAAGGGATGTCACCCCAGAAGCTACAAAGGAGGTGATACATAAGGAAACACCTGGTCTTCTGCATGTTATGATGCAAGAGAGTTTGAAGGTACTAGAGTTTACCCTGTGGTTTCTGTAAATTGATTTATTCTGTTTTGTTAAACATTAAAATGTATATTTACGACATGTTTCTTGGTAATTGAATGCCTTTGCCATGATTTACGTTTTTATTTTCTCGGGTGAAACCTAAAACTTGAGACGTGCCATTGGGCTTTCTTTGCTTTGCGCATCTTTTTCTTTATGGTGTGGGCTAGGCCTGTTTGAATGTCTAGAACTGTAGGTCTTGAGAGTTTGATTAGTGCAATAAGCATGGGTTTTTGCCATGAAAAGAAATAGGATTTTTTATGTTCGGACCGACTGTTGTCTCCTTTGGAAGAAAAGATTTGTTGAGACAAAACCCTAATTAGATGAATTTATGAAATTTTGCAGTTATATGAGTTTAGACTAGCAGAAACAAGATAATGAACACGGAGGAACTTTTGTAAACTTGAGGAGTAATCTCGGAACTAACTTTCCAAGTATTTAGATACAAATTCATTTTTTCTTCCATTTTAGGTCTACATAGACCTTCTACTTTATAGTTCTACATTTTCGGTGTTGCCATGCAGAAAGAGTTATATGATATCTCAAGCTTGGCACTTTTTTAAGGTACTAATTATTGTGAGTACCCGTAACAGGTAACACAATTTGCAATGCTCTCCCGCTCTGCAGCTGGAATAAGAGGATCAACACTGGTAAGATATTTTTTGTAGATCCCCTTTTATTGTACTTCAGAAAATATATCTCCAGGGATGTACATTGACCCCAATTACACGTCCCAAGATCAATTTGTAATGAATATGAAAAAATTGTGGAATAAATGCAAGTTTGATGACAAGATGACCCATTCTTTACACATCCACATATATAGCCAGACATGAAGGGGGTTAAATACTCTGGTCACTAAACTTTTTTGAATGGAATTTTAAGTTGGTCTCTGGACTTAAAATTTTGTCATGATTAGGTCACTCCGTCCTTATTTAGTCGAACTAATGCAAGAATTGTTGTGGTAGTCTAGTTATTTTGCCTACTAGACTGCAATGTCAACGTTTCCATTAGTCAAACTAATGGATATAGACAGAATTCCTAAATTGTAATAACATTTAAGTTGTGACCCAATTGTGACAAAGTTTAAGTTCATAACTTGGAACCAATGAAGTTAAGTAACCGCTTGAAATTTTGCTAGAAATTCAGGGAGCACTAGTATTTTTAACTTTACACAAAGGTGTACAATCTGGCCATCTTTAACCTTATCCACTGTAAATTGCCTTAATTGGTCGTCAAAGGATTTTATTATTTCTCTCTTTCATACATTTTTTGAAGATGTGGTATACATGTTTCTGATTGCACTACATGTTCAGATAATTAACATGCCGGGGAATCCCAATGCTGTTGCTGAATGCATGGAGGCTTTGCTGCCTGCTCTTAAGCATGCATTGAAGCAAATCCGGGGCGACAAGAGAGAAAAACATCCTCGTCATGTTCCTCATGCAGATGCTGCTCCGGTTGATACCTGGGAACACAGTTACAAGTCGGCTTCTGGCGTTGGCCAATTACATGGCTGTTCTTGTTCACATTGATGGCATCTTGGTACATCAGGGTCATGGAGTGTTGACATGTATTTTTCTGTGGATGTTGGTATTGAACAAATTTTCCATGAAATGACGAAAAATTACAAAATACACCTTACGTTTTACATTCTAAAGCTCGTGTTCGTTAGAACTTGAATAAAATTTGCTAGAATGTCAAACAAGGTATGCCTTGTTTAAATTCATATGAGCTGTGTTGTATATTTTGCTATAATTGTTCATGATGCTGATTTGCAGGGTATAGTAAAAGGGGTATATGGCTTGACAATTCGAGTGCCTTCAATTCTACTAGTTAAATAGCTCATTGAAGACTTGGTCCATATGGAATAGAGAAAATAAAATAATTGCTTTAATTATTTAGGACGACTTTAAAATTTTAGAAAATTAAGGCTGAACCTGAACTCCTTAACCTTTTACATGGTTTCACAATGATGGTGTGGTTATGGATCTTCATTTTGTTTAAATCTATTAGTTTTTGAATCAAAATTGTCGGGTGGATGATATAATCAAATGCGACTTATCACGTGACTTGAAGTTGAAGGGTGAAATTCTCAAATCATTTAAAATTTTATCCAATTCAATCAAAAGTCGAATACGATTTTATCGTCTATGTTTACGATTTTGATCAAATGGGAACCCAAATTCACGCGTTTAAGTAGAGGCCATGAGATGAGATTTATAACCACATTACACAAAAGTTTAGGGAGCTCAATCCTAATTTTGCCTTTAAAACAAGTCACTATTAATTTATAAATTTGACAAATTAAGCCCCTGTTTAGCATCCATTTTATCAAACATTGTTTGCTACAGGAAACAATCTTCACCATATATTCACTCAATAAAATATTCTACACGTACATCAATAAAATTACTTTACTTTTCAACCACACATTCTCCAAAAAATACTACTCCCTCCGTCCCAATTATATAGGCTGAATTTCCTTTCTCTCTTGTCCTAAATATATATTATGTTCATTTACGAATATGCTCTTATTAAATTTTCCCCACTTAATATGTCAATTTCTTGAAATCATCAAAATACACATATTTCTCACTTCTTGGAAACATGGAACAACTCTAAATTTCTTCTTCTTCATCTTCATCAAATCTTTATTAGTTCTAATAATAATTTAATTTTACATACTGAAAATTAAATAGGGGTAAACTAGGAAAGATTTTGGCAAAAATTAATTTTTCAATGACATTAAAGAAATTTTCTTAATCCGTGTGAAAAACGAAACAAGCCTATACAATTGAGATGGATGGAGTATTCAAAACTCTATTTTTTCTCCCAAAATGGGAGGCAAACAAGCACTGAAATATATATGCATATATATTTCACAAATTACTTATTAACTTATAAGAAATTTATGTGCGCCAAACATGCACCTTATCACTGACTACCACAGCGGGGTTCTTGTAAAAATGACCTAATCAAAGCCCCATAATTCCACTTTGACTTTTACGCTTGACAATAATCCCAAAATGCCCCATTTGCTGTAAAAAGACAAAAATACCCTTAAGTGACTAAAACAATTACAAAA